TGTGTGTGTGTGTGTGTGTGTGTGTGTGTGTGTGTGTGTATATATATATCTGAACTCAATAGTATATGTGCCTTCCTATCTCCTCCCCCCCCCCCCCCTCGAAAAACGTGAACTTAAGAAGCTGTTTAGTTGCAACGTGATTAATTTACGACAAGCAGTTTACAAGGAAACTTCAAATACACTCTTCTGCATGAAAGCTCTTCCTCTTAAAGGGCCCAACAACTGCCCAGAACATGAAATGAGATGACTGCAAGAATGGAAAGATTGTCCTTCATAGTGACTCAAAGCAACCCTGTTTTTCTCGTGAGAAGTGGAGTTATATCTTTTTTTTTTTTTTCATTGAAAATCGCATGTAGGCCCGTGTGCTCAGATTTGGGTGCACGTTAAAGAACCCCAGGTGGACTAAATTTCCGGAGCCCTCCACTACGGCGTCTCTCATAATCATATAGTGGTTTTGGGACGTTAAACCCCACATATCAATCAATCAATCATTGAAAATCGCAAAAATAGCTTGTGGTGCCATCTGGTGGTGGAAACTTTATTATCTGAGCTGCCCCGTCACATGACCGTAAACTAGTGTACGTGGTCAACAATTTTCCTGTTAGTAATAAAATATAGTTTGCTTCTTCATAGTAAAAGGTATTACTTCATTAAAATGTACTTATAGGCCTGCATTAGTAGTGCGCAATAAAGTGATGACGGCTTCGCATGACATAATGATCCCGTGCTCATCAGAGCGTCTTGAGCAACTTCTCTACATGCTCATGAAACCGTGCGCGCAGTTTCCAAGTCGCTAAAATTTTGGAGTGACTTGTTTTACCTACACTTGGTCTCAGAAATGATGAGCAGTGACTTGACTAGGCTCGTGTGTCGAGGGAGTAACGACGACAAGACAAGCCATCCACGACACAGGTGCATCAACCTTGTTGGGTGCAGGCACGCAACGTGGTACAAATACAGGGAGGCTGTATAAAGCCACATCGTCTCATGTGTTCATGCACAAGTCGCTAGAAGGGCTACTGGCATCGCTATCAATTCTCAGTGTTGCCGCACAAAAACACATCGGCGTTCAGAGCCTTTCAAATCGAAAAATACTGCTTATAAAATAACAATGTGCTTTTGGGAGTAACTACTGCAGCTTCAAACACGGCGAAGGGTAAGCTTTTGGTCGCGCCGGAGAACACTGTGTCGAAAAAAATCAATTGTCAGTCCCTTTAATGACATATTCTCCTAAACTGCAAGGGGAGCCCTATAGTTAAAAGCTGAAAGGTGGAAAGGATATTGCAAAGAAAAAGTTCGAATAAGTTGAAAGCACTTAAAATTGGCCCTCTGACAAATATTCCTGTTGGATGGCTTTTTATAAAAACAAAAGAAACGGCACCATTTCTTTTCCGTTACAGTTACTGCATAAAAAAGTAACATTGTTAGAGTTACAAGTTTCTTAGATTTAAAAGTAACTAGTTACCGAAAAAAGTAACTAGTTACCAGTAGCACGCTACTAACTAGTTACTGCCCAATGCTGCTTGTGCTACATAATGATCATACAGAATGACAGAGGAACTATTGAAAGGGTTATTTTTATTCGTTAGACACAGCCTCGATAACCTTCAGCAGACAATGAAGCCATGGAAAGAAAAGCAGATGTTATTGCCCGTTGGCACCGCTCGTCGCCATGATTGTGAATGTGGAACACACCTCTTTTGCCTGCTAGCACCCAGAAGCACGTAATTACTTATAATAATAATTGTTCAGGCTTAACATCCTAGAACCACGATACAATTATGAGACGTGCTGCAGAGCAGGGTTCCAGAAATTTGGACCACCTGGGGCTTTTTAACGTGCACCTAAATATACGTACACGGGCCCCGAGCATTTTGGGCCCCATCGAAAATGCTGCCGCCGTGGCCATGAATCGATTTAGCAACCTGCATGTGATCCCTTTACGAGCTGGCCACTGACCAATAAATAATTCCTCACGTACTACCTGAAAGCGTCAAGTCTACCAGAACAAGACCCATAATTTATATAACCTTTTACATAACCAACATAAAACTTTCGGGCACTGCATGGCAATTGTGTATACCAAAATATGTAGCGCATCAAAAGCACAGAACGTGCTTTAACAACTGCAACAAGTTTAAATAATATCTCTGATGGGCTTCAATTAAATTACTTCAATGACGCTTGGCAATCGTTTACGGTATTAGTGTCTGACTATCATGCAGAAGGTATTTTTGATTTACTTTTTTAGAAGATTTACATCACGCACATTATTCCAGAACTAGCTATATAGGTGCTTTCTAAGCATGCTAAATGTGAAACGTTCTCGTAACAAGTTCTCTTACAACGCTGACACATAGGCAAAAGTAAAGCACTTTGCAATAAACCCCTTTTAAGCAAGAAGTTGCAAGATGACACACGGCACTGCATTAAGTTCCTTAGGTGGCTCATGGCATTCATGATTAGCTTCACTTCCTCAGATGAACACCGGGAAAAAAAGGGCACTGCTTGTTAAATCAGCACGACAGAAAACACTTTTTTCTAAACAATTACCTAAGACAACACCAAAGTGATAGCAAACTTCTTTTTCTACACAGTAGATGTAATGATCCTACCCTACTACCCACCGAAATCTTTTCGCACCTAACATCATTTTGTGCTGCTTCCAGGATAGGAGGTGCTGCAAGCTTTCTGCACCTCCCCAGGTCTTGCATTGCCTCCGTGATATGTGGGCCGATCACAGAGGCTGCGGAAAGCACCGATGTCATGTGATGATGTTATCTGATAATGTAATGTAATCTGATGTCGAAATGGCATCATTGTCACATCACAAATATAGCTAGCTAATCAAAGACATCCTGGTGACATCATCACATGAGCTTTTGCTTCGTTCATGGCATCGATGCCTTGATACACCAGTCAACTCAGAAATATCTGTGGTTTTACATGCCAAAACCATGCTATGATTATGAGGAATATCTGTAGTGGAGGGCTCTGGAAATTACGACTATCTGGTGCTCTTAAATGTGCACTGACATCACACAATATACGGATCTCTACCATTTCACCTCCATTGAAGTGCGATCGCCGTGGCCAGGATCGAACATGCAACCTTCGGGTTGTGTGTTCGATCCTGGCCGCGGCGGTTGCACGGCCAATCTGCCGCTTCTAGATGGGCAGTCACACATTCACACATGTTAATGCACGACTGCTCATTTAGAAGCAGGAAAAAAATCGAACAAAAAAAAAACTCGCGTGCATGCATGCACACACTTTGCCCGCTCTTTTTTTTACTGTTTACGCTAAATAAACATAGAGTGATGAGTGATGATCAAACAATATAGCTTGTGAGTTGTTAACTAAATCAAGTCATTATTCATTGGCCATGTTAGACTAAGGTTCTAGTCAAGCAAAGTAATTTCACTTTACACATGCCCATACCCCATGTCTTTTGATCCAGTTGTAATGGCTTAATGTCATACTAGAATTGTGCAATACACAATAAATCGGCAAAGTTGATCCAAAAATTACATCACTTGTGCAAGAAGCTATGGTTGGCCCTATCACGTGCTAGTGACAAGCAATGCTATGTCGCCAGCTGGTTACCTGTTTATGCTGGGAATGAGAATTTTGCATGCAGAAGAAGCAAGTCTGAACCTAAAGCCACCTTGGCACTTTTACATTTTCAAACAAAGGTTATTTTAGAAGACTGATCAGTTCATACCAGCACGACTGTTTTTTTTTTTTTTTTGTCCATTATAATTTAGTGAGAAAATAAACATAAGTTCAAGTTTGGCTTTTCAAAATGTCTTTGGCATCAGAATTCTCCTCGCACACATGAGCATAATTAAAACAAGAACACAGAAGTATGTTATTTCGGGGCGACTTCCTTTCACAAGTCGCAACCACTAACGATTGAGCTCACTGTTTCTTGCGTGATCTCAGCATGCAGCCTCATTAAAGTAAAACCAGTGGTGTACTATGGCAGCGAGATGTTTCCAACGTGATAGCTCTAGGGTGCACTCGAAGAAAAACTCCCTGTGAGTCAAAATTAGAAAAATAGCACCACTTTTTTTGCTAATTTGTTTCAGAAGAAACTTAAATCAAGCTTGGTGCCAAGTTAGTTTCATTTCAGGATGATAGCAACATTGAACCCTGTGCGTACCTGCAAGGAAACTGAAAGTTCTTCCTTAGATAATAAACATCAGAAAATTTGGTTTCGTTTCAGTTGATTGAGCTTTAACAGTATAAACAATGGGCTCTATTTCGTGAGTATTATTTGTCTCTGATTCCATTCCTTTGTGCCTCCTTCTGCTGAATGACCAGTAGATAGCTTTCTGTTAAGGCTCTACGCACAACAAACATTACACAGAGCACGTACACTGCATGTACATGTAGCAAGCGGAATGCCCGTCACACTTGAATGCAATATAGTAGTCATGACAAAAAAAGAAAAAGAGTCTCACAAACTTTTATTTAATGTTACTGTTTGCTTATATCTGTTCAATACAGTTAAGGTATTATGTGTTAAGAACTGCAGGCTTCAACTGTTTTGAAACCATGAGACAAAGATAGCTGAAGTTGACGGAGATTGCAGGTGAACACCGGAAGCAACAAAAAGAACCAAATTATGAACTTACGAATTGATTACAGAACCCATATAATTAAAGAAAAAAATTCATAGTTTAATAATATCAAGACAAACAATAAAACCTTCCTTTCATGCACAACTAATATGAGTACTGCATGTTTATTGTATGTTACATAAATACTTTTACATACTTGTGCTCCAAGCTTGGAAGCCATGAGCGGAAGCAAACACCGGAAGCAACAAAAATAACCAAATCATCAACTTACGAATTGATTACAGAACCTATATAATTAAAGAAAAAATTCACAGTTTAATGTTATCAAGAAATAAAGGATTAAACCTTCCTTCCATGCAGCCCTAATATGAGTACTGCATGTTTATTGTATGCTACATAAATACTTTTACATACTTGTGCTCCAAGCTTGGAAGCCATGAGTGGAAGCATTATGTCACTTCCAATGCACAAGCATACAGTCTCTTCTTTGATAACCTGAAAAGAAAGCAGATTTTCCAATATTAGGCAAACAAAGATAATTGTTGAGTAAACTAATAAGCACTGCTCATGTACCTTTCCGAGTGCGGCAGCAAACTTCTCATGACGAGATCGATCTGAAAGAGCGCCGATTCTGGAATGGCTGGCATTCATATGTAGACCGCATTTGCAAGCAGGTACTTCAGGTATCTTTGGATTCTTGCTGCAAATATGGTGTTCATGGTATTAAAACAAACTACTAGGTGTGTTCTGATAACAGCAGTCAAAAGAGATGGAGGAGGGGGGTCCAGATTTTTTCAAAGATTTTAAACACTTTTTATGACACTAAAATCCCCCAGCGTAAAAGAACCCAATATCGCTTCTCCAGCATGCCCTTTTCTTTTAGCATGAAAACAAACTAAGACAAGGCGAAAAATGTGGCTTGTGCAGGTGCATATTGCCGCATTGGATATGCAGCACCAAGAGAGAAAGACGAGATTCTCATTCGATCAGTTTACCAGTGTTCTGGCACAATTAAAGTGAGTCGCCCTGTATTCAACTGATGCTGTTTCTGCATTGTGACACTAGTGGAGGTGCTGGGTACATGTTCGGGACACATGACAACAGCCCCGCAGCTAGCATAGAAATACTTCCGCACATCGACACCCCCGTTCACCGCAGCAACCAGCGCCTGTTAGGCCTCAGCCTAGAGTTCGGTACATTGCCGGAAAGCGTGACCTTGCCAGAAAGCATGACGGCGCCTGGAAGCACTGGCCCCAACATGCCAGCCCAAGCACGACACAGGTAACTGTTCTGAACCATCGACTTTCGGCTGACTTCCACGGAAACACATATGAGGACGCACATGACTGGCTCGAGGAATTCGAGCACACAGAGAATGCTAAGGGGTGGAACACCACACAGAAATTGGGCTACGTGTATTTTCCGCTTCAAGACTGAGCCCGAACATGCTTTACGAATCGCGTGTGGGCATCTTGGGATGAGTTCTGGCAGAAGTTCCTCGATACGTTAGCGAGCACCGAAAGACGAGTCACAGATTCAAAAACCAAATGAATCCGTTACGATGTTTGTTGAGAACATGACACGGCTGTTTCGTTGAGCAGATCCCAATATGCCCTAAGCCAAAAAGGTTAGCCACCTCATGCGGGGCGATAAGGAGCAGCTGTTCGCTGGTCCGGTGCGAAACCCGCCTACAAGTGTTGATGAATTCTCCAAGTAGGCGACATCCATCTAACACGCACTGCATCTACGCTACTGGCAGTATGACCGTCCAACCTACAGTTCACCGATCAGCGCGGCAACCATGACCACAGCAACGACACTTGACGAAGGTTCTTTGCGCCAACTGGTACGAGGAATCGTACAGAAGAGGTCAAGAAGCTCGTCGCCAAACCGAATGACTGCGCAATTGCCTCAGTAACAGAAGTTATGCGTCAGGAGACCAGGCAAGCGCTCTTGCTTCCTGAGCCGAACACGAGCACCCCCAAGGCAAGCTATGCACGCATAGTCCACCAACAGCCAGCAAACGTACCGACACCGCATCATTACCACCAGCAAAATCCACCGACAGCGCCTTGGTACTACAGAGTACAGAGAAACTTCGATGCCATGGCGGCCACCACTTTGCCAAGGCGCCATTGGTGGCCTTGGCACCACTTTGCCAAGGCGCCATTTCAACCAAACGCCTGACGTCGACACGAATGTCCTGACCCCGCGTAATGTTCCTCTTGGGTTTCGGTCGCGCCCACCCTCGCCTGGGCGTTATTCTCCATCTTCTAGACGAAGCACCACTGACATGCCGAGAGAGAGATCTCCTAGTCCATGCCAAGGAAACTAAAAGCAGCAATCTCAGGGGGAAGGTTGCGAATCGTCGAAGTGCTGAAAATGCCCCAATACTGCTGAGCAAAGAGACACAAATTTTCAATGATACGACGAAAGATGGGGTTGTTACTGCCCAAATTGTAATTATGATTGACAGACATGACGTCATGGCATTGGTCGACACTGGCGCGAACTTCTCAATAATGAGTGAGAGTCTGGCAGACAAGCTCAGGAAGGTTAATAGAATGGAAGTAACCACAGATTAAAGGAGCTGGAGGGAAGCTACTCACACCTACCGAAAAGTGCACCGCAAGAATGAAGATAGGGGATGAATCCTTCATCGCAACTTTCGTTATTCTTCCGAGTGTTGCAAACACGCAATCTTAGGGATGGATTTCTTGCGTGAATATAGTGCCATCATTAATATACTGGACGGTGTACTGATCTTTTCAGCGGATCAAAGCGCAGTGCTACACCGAAAATCCCTGCGCGTCATTGACGACGTGACCATACCTCCGCTATCATGCCGCCTTGTTTCGGCCACGTGCAGCGCGCAGCATACTGGAGAAGGAATTGCTGAACAAGTATTGACACTTCTACTCTCTTGCGGCGTGGCAATTGCCAGAAGTATCGTCAATGTTGTGTGCGGTGAAGCAGAGGTTCTGTTGACGAATTTTACCAACGAGCGCAACACATTACACAAGGCACTACAGTTGCCTACTTCGACGAGAACACCGAAATCCGTGAGTGCTGTGTGGTACAACAGGACGAGCCGCAAGCCACGTCAGCCCCACCACCTATTGATGTAAGCACGGATTTATCACCAGCACAGAGACAGCGTCTAGTAGATCTTCTTCACCAGTTCAAAAACTGTTTTTCATTGACCTCGAGGGTCAGTCAAATGCCACTGACGAAGCACCGGATAATAACGAAGGAGACGGCAAGGCCAATACGACAGAACTCGTGCTGCGTAGCACCAAAAGAGTGTGAAGCAATCCAGGAACAAGTGAAGAAAATGCTCTATGACGACGTCATCGAGCCGTCAAGAAGCCCTTGAGCATTGCCAGTAGTGCAGGTTAAAAAGAAAGACGAAAGCTTGCGATTTTGTGTCGGCTACCGCAAGTTGAACCATGTGACAAAGAAAGACGTATACCCATTACCGCGCATCGATGATTCACTCGACAGGCTGAGGTATGCACGCTACTTCTCATCAATGGACCTCAAAAGTGGGTATTGGCAAATTGAGGTCAACGAGCGAGATAGAGAAAAAAAACAGCTTTTGTAACGCCTGACGGGCTTTATGAATTTAAAGTCTTGCCCTTCGAATTGTGCTCAGCCCCCGCAACATTTCAGAGACTAATGGATACCGTTCTGTCAGGCCTTAAGTGACAGACATGTCTGGTCTATCTGGACGACATAATTGTTTTTTCAAAAACATTTGAGTAGCACCTGAGCGGGCTGCTATCGGTATTCAGGGCAATAAGGTCTGCCGGCCTGACACTGAAACCTGAGAAGTGTTGTTTCGGTTTCAAGGAGCTCCAATTTTCAGGCCATGTGGTGAGCCATGAAGGTGTTCGAGCTGATCCCCATAAGATTGCGGTCGTCAGAAAATTTCCGGTGCCAAGAGATAAGAAAGCAGTCAGGCGTTTCCTTGGCCTATGCCTATACTACCGAAGGTTTATTACCAATTTCTCACACATAGCCTCACCGTTAACATGACTCACAAGAGAAGACGTTTCGTTCACAGGGGGCGACGATCAACAAGCGGCATTTGACGATCTCCGACAACCCCTGCAGACACCGCTTGTGCTTGCTCACTTTGATGAGGACGCTCCTACCATGGTACACACAGATGCCAGCTGCGTGGGTTTAGGCGCTGTACTCGTCCAGTGGCAAGACTGAGCTGAGCGGGTGATCGCATATGCTAGTAGGACGCTTTCCCGAGCCGAGTCCAGCTACTCCACAACAGAAAAAGAGCGTCTTGTAGTCGTATGGGCAGTTATGAAGTTTCGTCCGTACCTCTACTGTCGTTTAGTCCACATAGTCAGCGACCATCATTCCCTTTACCGTCATTTCATGTAGTCAGCGACCATCATTTATTAATGGTTACCAATATGAAGACATGCTTGTCACTCCTTGTATGCCGCAGGTGAATAAGTGGATGTTTGGTGATGACGTCGGAAAAAAAAATTGAGTTTTCCCTGGTTTGGGACAGAACATAAACGCCTTCATGCACAGTGTTTTAATGTTTGGCTCACACATTCACAGAAAAAGGACTATAGTGGCAATGTTTTTACACTACACTCAAATCCCCTATTATGAAGTTGCATCTTACACAAAAATAAGTTTGTTATATTCAAAAATTTGTTATAAAGGTATATTCTCAAGATACTATTCTTCATTTACTTAATGACAACCGATATTTCACTATATCTGAGTTCATTATATCGCGTTTAGAGTGTATCTTCAAAAACTGTATATTCTCAAGATACTATTCTTCATTTACTTCATGACAACCGATATTTCACTATATCTGAGTTCATTATATCGGGTTTAGAGTGTATCTTCAAAAACAAGAATGACACAGAAGAGGTAGCATATAGGGTGCCATTTCAACTAAGCAATGTTATGTAGGGGTATAGAAGCTCTCACTATGTAAAATCAGCCAAATGAAGAACTTTACAAAAAAAATAGTACTGTATTTACAAGCGTAATAAACGCATTTCTTTTCTTAAAAAATCGGAGCCGAGTTGCTTTTATGATGCGGGGCAAATTTTATGAAAATTTTTTCGGGACAAAAAATGCCGTAACGCAAAACAAGTTGGAAGCTTAGCATTTCACAATTGACATATGCGCACACTGCTTCGAACAAGCTTTTTTTTGTTGCACTTGACTCGTCTTTGGTGGCTGGATGGTGCCATCTTCTGGAAGCTGTTCCTGCGCCGCCCGCACACGCCATAAAAGCATTTTACGGTTATCTTTTCTTTTTGCAATCATTTAACCACAATAGTGGTATCTGCTGTGATCTCGAAAGGCACCCAGAAGCGTGCGCTATGGCGCACTTCGCCAACTTCGTGGCAACATCGCACGCACGATGACAGCGCCGTCGCCGTTTGACGTTGTAGCAAGCAACCACCGAAGCATCAAAACAAACCGTTGATGACAATTTTAAGATTAATGACAAACTACAGCCACTACCTTGCTGTCCACATGAGAAGTGCGCTCCTTGAAGTACATGCGGATAACAAGCATGAAGAACAAATTGCAACCGAAGCGACAATCGGGGGTGCTATCATGTAGTGGAAATAGTCACAATCTATTCTGAGCAACAAGCGATTTTTATCTGGTTTTCCAAAAACCTGCAACACTGTGGCCACAAAGGGCTTTTCGCAAGAGCCATAGCGACAATAAATCGTGTCGTCATCGCTCGAAAATCGCGTGCATGAGGCTGGGCCTTAAAGTTTTGTATTTACGGGAAGCGACTGTTGGTTGGCGCAGGTAATTTCATGACCTTCCCTCGCTGTGTGCTTATCAGCTGCAATGTTTCACATTCGCACTGCTTGCAAACCCCGCTGTGGCGCACAGATAATTAGAAAAGACAGGGGACGTGCTGTGCAGATAAAAAAATAGTACTGCGCGCGGTAGAGGGCAAAGGAGAGAGAGAGAGAGCGAGCAGAGGTGGCTGATTAGGGTCGGCATAATAATAAAAACAGAAGAGATCCAAGAGCCAAAAAGGTGTTAGGTGTCGATTAGGAGGACTGCAGAGGATGAATGTAGGGGGTGTGTTTATTAGGCGGCGGAAAAAGAAATTCAAATTTTGATGACTGAAGTTGAGGGTGCGTTTATTATGTGTGTGTGTTCATTGCACGAGTAAATACGGTACTCAACTTCATAGCGCACACAACCCGCAATTGTTAGTAGCCAAGTAGATATCATACTTACCTTATAGAAACAAGAGCACAAATGTTGTAGCCCTCTCTCCGAACAACAAGAGAAATTTTCTCATCAACAGAAACTTTCAATTCATAGGGTGGAAAGTAGACTGCCTGCATCCAATGGTCCCGCCACTGTATATGAGAAAATGACAAATTAGTCATTACTGACGAAGAGCATTTCATGGCACCACTGTGAGTTCACTTTAAAGTGCTCTTACAAGATACATTCAGCTTCAATGAAATCTAAAGCTTGAAACACATTCCTCTGGTTCATTTATGCTGTAATACTTCAGGATTTCAGCTTGTAAAAAACCAATGCACTGCCAGCTGTGACACTAGGAGTAGGATTAAGGCCCAGCAGTGCTTTAGTAGTATATACAGCAACCGAGGCTCCCATTATTGGCATAGACATTTTGGAGGGCATGATGTGAGGAGATGCAGTGCGTAAGTGCTACGTTTGCTTTGAACAAAAGAGCAGCAGTTGTCATTTCTGGCCTATACTGACTCCGTCTAGCAGTTGAATGTTCAGTTCATACAGGCTCTGAGCTACAAACCAATGGCAACTAGAGAACCTTTCGCTCTTTCTTGGCGAGGTGAATGGCAATGCAGCTCATGTCATTGTAGAACAAATACTCGAAACCATAAATAATCTAACGATAATGAGCTGCATCCACCAAGGTGCAACAATCTCAAGTTTGTGTGCCCATCCCAGTTTAGAACTGATTTTAATTGCTTGCAGTCTTTTTCCCCCTCTCCAAAAAGCTAATGCGACCTTCTTACACAGGCTTTGTGCTAATTATTTTTTTTATTTATATTTGGCAAAACATGGGAAGGTAGGCTACATTAGAGCTGGCTATCCCAACATCATGACAGTAATGTACAAGATAAACACACAAACAAAAAAAAGAATGCAAAAAGAAAAAACTAATCAGAGGCACTATGTACATATTATGTACACTATAGAGCTTATAACGCATGAATAAGCACAGTATGTATGGGCACAATCTAGTTCATATATCGGGATCACATTGTGGATAGAGTTCTCACAAATAGCGGCAAGGTAAATTATGAACTACAGTTATTTAGATTTGTGTCCATTAAAAAAATCACGGAGGGCGCTCAGTCCGCACCTTTGAATATCGAACTGTGGTAATTTATGCAGTGTTGCAAGTTTCTGCAATCACATTACTGTACTGTCACTCTCACTTAGTCAACTTCTGTAGCTAGAGACGGAGAAATGCCCACCAAATACATGCCAAAACCCAAGTCTAGCCAGGCAATGCTACTGGGCCCTACACACCTTTCCACAGGAGGCGGAAAATTCCACCATGATAGGCTGCATGCGGAAGTACATAGGCTAATGGCACACACTCGACAGTGCATTTTTGGGGGGGTCGCACCAATTTGCGCAGCCCAAGAAGGACTATGGAAGCGCCTAGGGAGCCGTTCCTGAAAAGGCCTATAGTCACCAGAAAAAACTTCAAGAGCACCACAAATGTAGGGCATGCCGGCAACATTGGACGGAGGTGGTCATATCCCTTCCTGTCCTCTCGACACATTGCTAGCATGCATTGAGAAAACGCCGAGCTTTCTATCTCAATGTCGCGTTACGCATCATGAAACTGTAATATTTTGGCACGTACCTTTTAGTGGACATCACAAGTGATTCAAAGTCGCAAGCAATTCGGAGTGGTTGGAGAGAGAGGTTTATTATGAAACACGAGCACAGTTACAAGAGACACTCTGTTTTTAAGAACAACTTTCTCAGGTAGCTAGAGTAAGTTCTTTTTAGAAGAGACGTAACCAAAACAAACTTTCTCAATAAAACTGACTGAATACCAACCAGCAAGCAAGGCAATTTTAATTCTCTTGGCTTTCTTTTGATTTTTCCAGCCGCTGAATGTCATACCTCAAAAGGTTGTGACTAGAAATTGCACTGAACCTTGTCATTATACATTATGATGTGGACATTGCAGCGAACAAAGTGTTCACAATAGCGGGTGATGAACATTACAAGCAAAAAGAAGGCCTGCAAGGTAAAGTGCTTTTCATCCACCGGAAGTTGGGAAGGAAGCTAATACATTCTGCCTTCACTAATAATCAAACTACTTCTTCAGGCCATCCTGAGCAATCTATTGCAGATGTCTATAAACACCTCTTCATACTGATGTATAAAATGTGGTCTAGTCAAACACCTCAGTGTTTTTAAAATGTTTGGCTGTGCCTTGTGTGAATACAAGGCACATTTCATTTTCTATTTCTTGTCTCTGTTGACGTTATGAATTTTGCAGAGTACTTGGAGGCAAGTTAGTGTTCCAAAAACTGTCTTAATGGTGACATTGCCAAAGCATAAACATGGCTACAGTTCTTGTACTGCCTTTGATAACTTTTTTTTATTCCGTCTACACTGTTCACTTCCTATAATCATCCGAATGAATGATGCTCTACTATTGTTAGTCCGTGCAAAGAGAAAAAAAAAAAAAGAAAAGCAGTTACAGTTACTTCTAGAAAGTGTTTGATACTGATTGCTACCTGGTGTTTCAAGCCAGAAAACTGTGGTCAGCCAAAGCAGTGAGAAGACAAGGAGGAGGATCCAGTTAGACTGCTCCTTCGTACCCGAAATTAGTGCCTGGCTATTCATTCGCTCTTGTAAAAACACGCGACATTATACTCATGGTCATAATAACGGTGCAGAAAGTTTTAAATCATGTGTTGAAAGGACAGTCAACCAATCAACTAATTGTTATGATAACTCTTTCTTTAGTCTGTAGTGCAACTGAAAGCTTACCGGCCAGAGTGTAATCACAGAATGAAAATTCAAAAAATGCCACAAAATATTTTTAATGCGATTTTTTTTATCTGTCGTGAATGTGAACTCGTACACATAATACATTTTGCAAACGGTGGGCGGTGAACACAGCAGCAGTCTGTACTCGTGCACTGATGTTTGGCAGTACGCATGCACACCATGCGCATGCGCTGCGACACGACATATTTCACTAGTTGCCACAAAAGCAATGACACTTCTCAGTGTCAACTCCTTTCATCTAATAAGCAGCACAGAATAGAGTGGCAAGGAATAGTAGTGCAGATACTGTCATTTCGAGCTCTGAAACTTGCGCGCATAAAAGCATTGGACTACGCACAGCAAACTAAAAGACTGCATACAAGGCTCTTCCAGTAGGCTGTGTGAAATACCTTTCTTTTGTGATTTTTCAAACACCACAATGTTAATCCTACTCAGATGATAAACATGGCACTTGAATCTGTCGCTATAATTTAGGGTCTTTTCATTTCCACCAGAATCTAATGTTCATATGGTTATAGCGCATGACGACAAGGACACAAAAGAGAGATACCTTACAATAATGAATCTCAACCAACTAGCTCGACAACGTGCCTTAGTCGAGTGACCTATAATAAAGGGGGTGTCAAAAGCACCGCGGAAATACATGAGAGGCATGAGGATTTTTTGCGGTGAACTCCCGCACTGTGGCGCTAGACCTGTGGGCTTTCTCCGCGGCGAAAGCCGCATCAAAGCGGCAGGTTTCTGCTACACGCCCGATATTTCGGCTGCTACTCCATTGAAAATCCTGGGTTGGTGGATGCTGGAGTCGTCGGTGGATATGGTGCAAAGAATACTGAATATAGTGGAAACTGTAGTGGCTATAATGGCTGATGACGGTGAGAGTGGAAAAAATGATGGCAGATGGTCGTGATGGTGGTGAGCCAATGGTGGTGGCAGTAGAAAATGCTGGCTTATGATGGTGAGAGTGGAAAAAATAGTGGCAGATGGTGATGATTAGTGGCGGCAAGCCAATGATGGTGGCAGTGGAAAATGCTGGCTGATGATGGTGAGCGTGGAAAAAATGGTGGCAGATGATGGTGATTGGTGGTGGCGGGCCAATGGTGGTGACAGTGGAAAATGCCAGCTGATGGTGGTGATGCAAAATGTGTTTGGTGGAAGGCTAGGTGAACAAGCTGGATGACGGTGGCATGACGGAAGCTTGGTGGATGATGGTGACATAATGAAAAAGTACATGACAGTAAATCGAATCACTCATTTGTAGTGTTTCATTCTTGAATGCGCAGAGATATATGTTTACGGTCAGAAGAAGACAAACGCTGCTCATTACGCTTTCTAGCACATTTTTTCTTTAATCCTGCGGTGTCAACAACGCTTCAGCTTTTGTGGAGCATAGAATGCGGCCGTGAATATGTTTACATTTTGCATACATACTTACATCAGTTTGACATCTGCGATGTGTTTCTTTGTTGTGATGTTTAGAAGACCAGAGGTGTCACTGTGAACAGTGACAAATGTTTTACATCGCCGCGCAGTTGTCGAGAAATAAATGATCCCCAGTTCACAATTGCCCCTTTCAATGTGGAAACAATTTCGTGTAACTTCTCGTAAACATCTTTTATAAAATCTCCGAGCCGGGCCAACACTAAACACCAAACACATTCAAAATATCTCAAGTTAAGAAGTAGTTGCTTGAAACTGTTTTTATTTCTTATGGTGAAGGCTTGAAGGAATGCACGTATGTCGCTGAAACGTTTCATACTGATGTTCAGTCATCCCTGGCATATCAAAACAAATGCATGTACATAGACTTTTTTAAAGTCTAGGTACCTAAGTAATCTTTATATTTGAGCCATTTTCTAAATTGGTTCAAATATGAAACTTTCACATTTGTAAACCTCCTGGATTGTCGTTGATTAAAATCATGATTGATTTGTGGGGTTTAAGGTCCCAAAACCACCATATCATTATGAGAGACGCCGTAGAGGAGGGCTCCGGAAATTTCGACCACCTGGGGTTCTTTAACGTGCACCCAAATCTGAGTACACGGGCCTACAACATTTCCACCTCCATCGGAAATACAGCCGCCGCAGCCGGGATTCGATCCCGCGACCTGCGGGTCAGCAGCCGAGTACCTTAGCCACTAGACCACCACAGTGGGGCGATGGATTTTCGTTCAGGCAGCTATTCAAATTGTACAGCAATAAAGGTATTTAGAACTTTTACGGTATCTGAATATTAATAGAGCATTTTCAATAATACGCGTTTTTGAATAAACTTGCGAAGTAATGTAACATTACCTGGAATTCCTTTTCTTTCAAATATC